AGCTCACAGCAACCTCCAACTTTTGGGCTTAGGCGATTCTCTTGCCTCAGCCTCCCGACAAGTAGCTGGGACCACAGTCGCCCATCCCAACACCTGGCCATTTTTTGTTGCAGTTTGGCTGGGCCGGGTTTGAACCTGCCACCCTTGGTATATAGGGCTGGTGCCCTACCCAGTGAGCCACAGGTGCTGCCTTTGATGCCATTTTTTTAGAACATTCTTAATTTTTATCTTTAGAAAAGTGAATAGATAATTAGATAATTGTTCATTTTTTTAATGTTCCAGGTCAGTGGGTTCTAGCACCTTAATCTTTGTTGAATAGAATGGAAGTTTCTATTGGGCATCCCTGATAGATGATAGTGTGCACATTCTTCTAATTATATTTAAGGAAAACTTCTGGGAGAATTGTGACATCCTGCTCTATCTGCATACAGCATCATATTAAATGAGACTCTTCCTGCCCCTGTTTCAGCTGAGGATTCAGTAGGGGCCAGGTGGTGCCGGGACTCTAGATCTCTAATCAGCCTAAGTTCGGGTGACACCTCTTAGGTGTGGCTGTCTACACAAACAGAAATTGGGCAGGGGGAGGTCCAGAGCAGACTGTGGCCCAGCCTCTCCTCTGCTCTGCAAAGGATGACTCTAAGGAGGCCAGATTATCATCATCCCCCAGAGAGAAGCAGGTCATTTCTCAGGAGGTGGGACCACGCCCCCAGGCTCCCCAGACCCCTGCCTGGTGAAAGGGGCTCCAGGAGACCACCCAGGGAGCTTGACATGTGATTCTTAAAGTCTGGTGGCCACTGTGGACTGAGAGTCCCCTGAGTGGGATGCAAACTCTGCTGGCCTCTGCCATGCCCAGGAAGTGGCTCCAGTGTGTGTTTCTTGGGCATCAGATGTGGTTTTCAAAAACATGATGTCTACCAAGAGAACAGCAGCCCAGGCAGAGGATAGGCAGGTTTCCTGGGCTGGGGTTACAAGGACTGGCCAAATGGGAATCCTGGCAGCTAGAGAAGGGAGTCTCTGACGTGTTCCAGAGTAGGTGAGTGCCTTTACCTCTCCCACCCAGAGGAGAGCCCAGGAAAATCCCACTGGTGCTACCAAAGGCTTGTGCCCGCCCTCAACTTCTGCTTCTCCTTGCAAAACCCAGAGGGTGCAGAGCCGCCTGTGTGTGGGAGGGTCAGCACCTCACCTGCTTCCCCCTGGAGGGTCCCCACGGAGCAGACCTGCCTCAGAAAGAGGTTCTGAATTCTGCTCATTACTTGAACTGAACGTGCTAAGTTCTGAATCTAGACTGTTGGGGAACTAGTACATCACAGGACTTTTTATTAGCGGAAAATGAAGGGACCCAAGGAGACTTGAGAACCATGGTCATTAATGAGCTCCACCAAAGGTAGCACGTAGATTAATTTCTCCCTCCTTTACCTTTTCCAGGAAACTGTGATCATAGGTATCACAGTTAAACGAGTAAGCAAATTAACAGTTAAAAATCTATTAAGCATATACATTTCATGTTAAACATGTTTCTGCTTTTATAAATATACCCATTTAAATAGTCACTTGAATTTTGATAGGAAAATAGAAATTCTAAATGGAATCTCTCCCAAAGTTAAAGTGAAATCGATGCCATGAGCCATCAAAGACAGGACATCCAGTGTTATCAGCACATAAAGGAGACAGAAAGTCAGGGATCTGTCCAAGGCATTCAGAGAATCACAGAAAATATCATTTGGCTGACTGGGTTGTTGATTTCTCCAAACGTGGACAGAGCAGTGGCACCTCTGACACAGCAAAGGCAGAGCTGGACCCAAGAACAAGTTCCTCCCGCTGCAGATGAAAAGGAGGAACAGGCTCACTGCCCTGTGCTTCTGGGGACCGTCAGCACGTCCGAATACTTGCAAGGCAAGAAATGCGTAAGGAATAAGATACGTATATTCCTTCCTTCAAATTGTGCTTTAGGTGGAAATTCAATAAAAACTTCACATGGAATAACTACCAAAGTCAGTATGAGCTCCGTCTACACATGCTGACTTAGAGACGGGTGCACAGCGACTGAACCCCACGGTTCCCGAACACCCCAAAACTCTCTGATGGAACGCAGCATCGGGAATAGATGGAGCAGTTCACTGTGATGCTGATCTCACTGGTGTCTAAACTTGGGGTGCACTAAATAATTTCGTACTTCATAACTCAAAGAAGTTCAGAAATGTCTGTGTATAACTGTTACCTTTTTGGCAGGTTATAATTTTTCTCAGCAACTGTAGACACAAATCATTGAGCTGGTCAGCATGCCAGTATTTTAGAAACACTTTTCGGACTCCCATCTAAAATGCAAACAGCAGAGAAAACATTTAACAGTGTGAAGATGCCAAAGGATGATGGAAAAATAATCAGACCACAGATTTTCCAGCAGAGGATTGGAAGGAATAGACCAACACAATTAATTACGTCTCCCTGATTTTTTTTAACACTATTACATTTAGTCAAAACTCCATACATTTTGTTCTAATAAGTATATCTGCTGTGTGTACATATTGTCACTAAAATGTTTACAGATGCCTACACATTACTGATGTGGTGGCCACACCAAGCATTGGCCTTGACTCTTTATCAATCAGAAGATAAAACCATCCTCATGAATGAATTCTCACTTTCCACAGCTAGACCTTTCTCTTTTTCTTGTGATCCTTTTCTCCCCACCACTCAAGGCAGGAGGATGGAGTCTACATAAAGGAAAACACACACACAGAGCAACCAAAACAGAGCACAGGGCCGACACATGCCACTGTTCAATTATTTTTTCACTATACCATGTATTATAAGCTGAATATTTCCACACAACTGCAATTATAGAACTTCAGCACGAAAGTTGAACGAAAAAAGAAGGCTCCAGAAAGCCATGTCTGAGAATAATCTTGTAGATATTTGCACAGTCGTTACCCAATGAACATACTTCTCCAGAATTTTTAAAAAGAAATTCCAGCATGACACCAAACCTGTGTCTACGGGAAGCCCCATTGCAGGAAGCTTGCCCATCACACTGCTACTGCTGAGACAGCTGCCAGAGAACGTTCCTAAAAGCACATAACAATAAGCCACACTGATACACTTTCAAAATAGTTTTCTTGCACGTTGTGCTTATTTTCAAAGAATTCACAGAGCTGTGGTAGGTGTGAGGAATACCCCTCGCAGAGTGAGGGCTCTGGAGTCTCTCGGGGAAGCAGACAGAATCATTGCAGAGGAGCCTGGCACATGGAGGTGAAATTCTAGTGGAGGGAAGCGACTGCTCGTGTTGAGTTCATGATCACACTCTTAGTGTCTGAGATAAACACCATTAAGGTGAGGAGGAGACAGACGCGTGCTCCTAGGCATCCTCCGGGGACGTTAAAATGCCACTCTACAACCTGTGTCGTATATCACAGTGACGCCAGACGCTGGTGTGTGTGCACACACCATTAGGTACCAGAAAGGTTTATAGGTCAGGCTCTATTCAGAGTTGTTTTATGAGCCTTTTCATATGAAAACTGAATTTATTCCAAACATACTTCTCTCCCCCTTTTCACCTAACCCTTTGCTTTCACGATCTGTTGTCTTAATGAAACACACGGTTTTGCTACAGACTGTGGCCCGGCTCTTGTGTTATGCCAATCAGGCTAATTAGTTAGATCCCTGGAGAAAGCTCTCACTACTGGTGTAGTTCAGAGACCTCTGGTTGACTAGATGTTCTTCTCCATCTAATTTTCTTTTACTTGGTTGAAATTACAGATAGTCACATGGGCAGCTGGTTACTGGGAGTTGTTACCTTTTTTCATTGTTTTGCCATTCTCTCTTCCTAGTTATTTTCCATAATTCATAGTCTTTTTATCCCCCTTCCCAACTGCTGACTTATTTTGGCAGCCGACGGGAAGAACAGTTGGTCCTGTCTGTGAGCTCTGCAGAACAAATCTGTGAGACAGGCACCAGGAAGGAGGGAGCGTGTCACCTCTCTGCTCATCACTGTGGGTGTGACTCACTGTGGGAAACTAAATTCCAAAAGCAAAATTCACACAGACCTGGGTTCTCAAACAAAACTCCAAAAGAATCATGGCAGAAATACTCCACAATGGGAGGAATTGATAATGATCAAAGGTAAATTAATATATGGAAGGGTAACAGCATGGCCGGAAGACCTGCGGGATGGAAACAGAGCAGGATTCCAGCTTCGATCCTGTAAGTTGGTGGAGACTGGGGGTGGGGAGAGTGTTGGATGGGATGCCCACCATCGCTTACCAGGACACTTCTGACAGCCATTTAAAACACCAAAGTAGGTTTATCCCGAGCATTGTGCTAGATGTGGGGGCACACAAAAGCAGTCCCTGTTCTTAAGGAACCATAATTTACTGGGCAAGGTCAGCAGTGAGCAAATTCTGGCAACCGTATATGCTCAGAGTGATGAGAGGGCCATGTCCAAGGAGCACAGCACGCCAGAGGAGAGAGTGAGCCCGACCCGGTCTGTGGTTGGGCGGGATTCATGGAGCAGTGTGTGTTCTAAGCCATTTGGCCATGTAGGGTAAGCAGGATTTTTCCTGGGCATCTTGGAAAGGTGGGAGAAGATGGATGTAAGACAGAGAAACTCTCCTGTGAAAAGCAGGAGCTGGAGACTGACAAACCATCTGAGGGTGCAGCTGTGGATACAGTGAGGAGGGGGGAGGCTCCCGTGTAACCTGTGGTCACAGTATTGGAGGGTATTCTAGGAAAAACATAAGACATTTTCTTTGTGAGGAGATTTAAAGAGGAACAGATCCAAATTTTATAAAAACTAATTCTAAAATGTTTTTTAATTTTGTAAAGATCCTTCTGAAGTTTCTGGAGATGGACTGGTGGGCCGAGTTTTCAGAGGCGGCTGGCGAGGTGAGGCAAGACAGTGCCTCAGCAAGTCAGGCTGGGGAGGCTGGGACGGTGGAGTGGCTGCTCAGCCTCACGAGGACCCACCTCCCCTCCACGGGCAGGTGTCTGAGGGCTGCTTCTCCGTGTCCAGCAGGGTTTACACTTTCCATCTGCTCTCCCAGGACCCCCTACGAGCAATTCTCTAGTTCTGTTATTCCAGTGCATTGTACATTTGTCATCGTACACGCTATGGTCTCCTGAAGAGCTTGCACACAATATTCTTGAAATACACAAGTAGTACGGATGTGGGCAGGAAGGATTCAGATTAAAAAGGAAAAAAGAAGATAAAGAATTGTGAAATCCTTGGAAAACATGAGTCATAGAGACAGATGATCTCTTCTGAAAATAAGATGTGATGGTAAATGAAAACTTAAGTCAGACCCTGACGTCAATCAGCAATCCCGAAATATACCATGGAAGGCAGGGGGTGATGGAGCAAGTTGTGGAAGGATGAAAAGGAAAAGTGGGGTGAAGCCATCCACGGCCCAAGAGCCAAGTCTGGGGAGCAGGACTCAGCTGGCCTCCCACCCCGAGGCAAAGGAAGTGAGACAAGGAAAGCCTTGGGACAAAGAATTTTCAGAAAATAGCTGAGGTTTGGTTAAGATATGGAGGTTAAATTAGAGAGAAGTAAATGGAGAAGATGAAGTGTATTTTTCTCAGGATACACCAGAGATTTCAGAGCACCTGGATGGATGGTTGAGAAGTGGATGGAGGTCTTCCCAGGCCACACCTGCTGGCTGCCTCAGATGTGGGCTTCTTGCTGGGAGCCCGGGCTTGGGAACCAGCAGGGAAGGTGCTAAGCGGGGACATGGAGCATAGGGTACATTAAATGTGCGCTGGGCGGACACCTGCCATGGTAGGAGTCAGAGAGCGGGACTGTCCCCAGGCTCCTTGACCCAGATGTTTGGTGTGGCTGTGCCTGTGAAAATCTGCCTGCCGAGGAACAGCTTCTGGGCTCTGGATTCAGGGGAGGAGGATGAAGGCCACAATCACATACAGGCTCCCACACGCCGGGGCTGAGGCCTTTGTGAAAATGGGGGCCGTGGCGCTGTTGTTACATTCAGGTGATTTGAAAAGAAGTCATCATTTAACTACCTGGGCACACTTTATGGTATCCAAGGGACCATCTTATTCTCTATCAGTTTGTACTATATAATTTATGTGCAGATTGGCCATATTTGGAGAGGCTCATTGGAAGTTTGAGCATTTGATTGACTTTGCTCGGTTTTAGAGAACAGTGTTTGCAGAAAATGTTTCCTCTCTCTCAGAGGAAGGAGATGAGCCCGTCAGTCACGTGGTGGAAACCGTTCTGACTTCCGTCTGTTCCACCCTCTGCCGCCACTGAACGAGAACATTCACCAGGAGCCTTCCTTTCCCAGGAAAACTTGGACAACATCACATGACTCCTACCTTTCCAGGGACTTCCAGTGGCTTTTAATGACATGGACTGGAAGCCAATTATTAGCTGTTTTCGATTTTTTTTTTTGAAGAAACGAATCTTACTGTATAATCAGTGTATTTGTGTGCTGTGTCAAATCCAATAAATTAAGAGTCACCTGAATCAGACCAAATGATGGACAGACCTACAGACAATGTCAGTCACCTACATTCTTGATTTTGGAAGCATTATTACATCAAAGGATGTTTCTCAGAGAACAAGAGAGGTAAAAATGTTCCCCACGCGAGCCTCTCCCTCCCTGCAGAGTGTGCTTCTCTGAGATTTGGGTGTTAATGTCATTCTGACTCCTGCAAAGTAAACCATCTGTGGATTACAGTCATGGCTATTTTTATTAGAAAACCATTAGTTTTTCTTTTTAAGTGACAGATTTTAAAAGATTAAACAAAATTGCCATTGATGACTTCCAAAGCTCTAATCACTGCTGTAGTTTTTAGGGATTTTTTTTTCCTTTGGGAGGTGTAGGCTGTGGGCTTCAGACAGACGCTGGGACAGTGGTTGTGAGAGAGTGTGGGTGGAGCTGTGTGGAGAGACTCGAGGGAACTGTGAGAACTTCTTTTTCTTTTAAGACAATTTTTTAGGCATGCTGTGTGCTTCTGGCAGCACTTATGAAATAGCTTTTACACATAAAAAGTTGAGTTGTTATCCTTCAATATTTTCTATGATGTACATTTCTCCCTGTATTAATGCAATTGAGAAGAATGACCCGTGTTGAACTCATCTTACATATTGGTAGTAGAGAAAAATAGTGCCAGCCCTCATTTGGTTATAACCATGAATTCTTGTAGATTTGAGGAAGACACATGTATTATCTGCATTTCATGTGTGAGTTAATTAAGTTCATTCAATTACTGCCACTAAAAAATGTAATGAGTCATTGTTTCCCACGAGGTAACTGAAGGAGAAGGCTCAGGTCACAGGGCTCTTCTTTGGCAAAGGAGG